TGTTTCTTGATCCCAACTTGTTCCTTACATGTAGGTTCAATCTTCAGTATTCGAGTTACTGTTTTCAGCAGAAGCCAGGAAAACAACTTTGTAGTAGTCAGAATGTTATCCTAATGTATATTGTTTACTTTATTGTAAATAATGGTGAGCAGTGGTCAATAAATAGTTTTATATTCCAAAAAAAAAAAAATCCATCTCAATGCATTTAGAAATGAAAATGTGAAATCATAACCAATATCACCAAAATCCAGAAGATTAAAAAGTTACTTTAAAATTTCGCACTCTAATAACAGAGAGAAATGAATAAGTTCCTTGACACATATGAATTATCAAAATTGAACCAAGAAGATACTCTGAAAAGACCAATAACAGGCAATAAAGTAGAAGCAGTAATAAAAACTTTATCAACAAATTAAAAGCCCAGAACCTGATGGATTCACCACAGAATTCTACCAGAACCTTATGGAAGATCTAATGACAACATTCTTCAAGCTCTTTAATGAAACTGAAAGGGAGAAAGTACTGTCAAGCTCATTCTTGGAAACCAGTAATACGTGAATACCGAAACTAGACAAGGAGTTAAAAAATTAAAATTAAAAAAAAATTGTTGTATTGGCCAAGGCAACAGGCATCATACACCCTGTCTTGAAATTATACTACAAAGTTACTGTGATGAAAATCAGCTTGATACTGACAAAAATAACAGACATGAGGATAAATGGAACAGATTAGAAGATGCAGACTCAACTACAAACACACTCAGCCACCTTATTTTTTATTCCCGTAATTTTATTGATAAACAAATAGCAATGAGACAGTTTCAAATCACATTGGTAGGACAGTTTCAATAATTAACACATCGCATACATTCTTACTAGTGGTTAATTGCTGTACAAGATGCGGACATGATATCTTATTTACAAACACTATTAGAACAAATCACTCTATTCATTAAGAGAATGTAACTTAATGAATATATATATATCCTAACCTCTTTGAATACACAGATACAAAATAGACATTCATCTGTATACCCTTTTTTTGTTAAGTTCCATTATTTGAATATTATAGGTGTGTAAACTCAGCAAAATATTCTAAAAGAGTCCAGTAGCCCATAATAGTATTG